GACATTTCTCATGGCTATGCCCAATATGGATGCTACCTTCACTGCTACCTTTTAATTCTTTGTTTGACTCTGGTGAGTTTTCTTGTCCTTTCTCCCACCAATTATTCACAATTCTACCTAAATTCTCAATTTAGCTTCCATTTTAAACCATTCTAATTGGGTAATGTTATCTTTTACTTCATCATGAAAGCTAAATGTAGTCATTCTGCTCTTTCCACCTATGAACTTAAAGAAATGTATGGCCAACCTTTCCACCTATTTTTTGCCTTATAAGATGAGCAGTTATCCTTCATTCAAGTCAAATTCATTCCTTTGATCCCTACATTCCTTCATCCTAGGGACTTGTCCTGCCAGCCACTGCCTCTCTCTACTGCACTTTCTAGGCATCCAGGTCAAGACTTGTCTTAGTCAGTTCAGGTTGTTTAACAAAACACCTTAAACTATGTAATTTACAAACAATAGACATTCATTGTTCACTATTCTGGAGGCTGGGAGGTCCAAGATCAAGGTACCAGCAGATTTGGTGTCTGGTGAGGGCCGGTTCCTCACAGGTACTACTTTCTCTCCATCCTCACATGGTGGAAGAGGCAAAACAATCTCCCTTCCACCTTCTTTAATCCTTTTCTAATCCTGTTCATGAGGGTGGTTGCAGAGCTCTTGTGATCTCCCAAAGACTTTACATTTTAATACTACCATATTGGGGATTAAGGCTCAACATATGAATTTGAGGGGATACAAACATTCAAGCCATAGAAAGGCTTAAATGCAACTTGCTCAGAAAGGTCTTTCCTGTTTGCAAACAAAGAGGTCTTTCCTGTTTCCAGCTGGCACTCTCTACTCACTTCACATCACCCTATTTTATTGTTTTGTTATTATTTTTTTTATGGCATATATCATCAGCTAGTACATCTTATGTGTTATCTATTGATTCTGCCTTTTTTGATGTTTTTGGGATCTTGTCTATCTTGTTTATTCCAAAAGTCTCATGCCTAGAATAATGTTTGGAATATAGTATAAGTTCAACAAATATTGTTAAATAAAAGACTAGGTGCATTACTTAATTTTACTGACAGTTTATTTTTACTGACTTTTTTTTCTAGCTTGTAAATGTGTACATTCTTTCCCATTTTAAAAACAGCAAAAGTAAACAAATGGAAAAAAATATTTCCTTAATCCTTATTGTAATTGTCTAATCCAGGGGCTGGCATTTTATGACTCACCAGCAGGCCACCTGTTCTTATAAATAAAGTCGTGGGAAAACCTCACCTCAGCCTTCTGAATAACTGGGACTACAGGTGGATACCACCATGTCTGGCTAATTTTTGTAGAGACAGGGCTTTACCCTGTTGCCCAGGCTCATCTCGAACTCCCGAGTTCAAGCCATCCATCCACCTTGGCCCCCCAAAATGCTGGGATTACAGGTATAAGCCACCGTGCCCAGCCTGGCCTCTTCTTAAGAATTTGTATAACCTCAGGATTCTGTCCTAAGCAAAAAGTTTCCAATCTACATATTCTTCCTATGTAAACTCAGTTAACCCAAGTGATTTCAATCCCCCTGCTCAAATTTAGGACCCACTGTGTCTCCACTAGACCCTTGCAGCAGCCTCCTGACTGGTCCTCTTACATTTAGCCTTACCGCATCAAAGCCACCAGAATGTTAATTTAAGTTAGTGGTTCCCAAACTTTACTTCACATCTGATTCACTTGGAGGGTGTGTTAACATTCAAATTGCTGGGCTTTACTCATGGAGTTTGGACCCAATAAGTCTCAGGTGGAACCTGAGAATTTGCATTTCTTTGTTCCTGGGTGATGCTGAGGTTGCTGTTATAAAGTACATGATGAAATACAGTGATAAAAGAGGTTTGACTTGCCCACTTTCTTCTTAAGACTATGCAGTGATATTCCATAATCTACAGAATTGCATAGAAGCTATTATATCACATCATAATGCCCTTCAAGATCTTACTCTTTCTTTCCCACCAGAGTTCTCTCTTCCATTCTTTGACTCCCATTTGGTTCTCTTATGACCTCAGACAGCAAATTTCAACATGTGTCCCTCACTGATTACACACCTCTTTGCTCTTGCTCATACCTGTAATTTGTGTGCCCTCTCTACCCACCATTCCCCTCTTTACCTTTATTGAGATATCTCAAATACTGTACTACTTTCCAAGCTTCCACAATAGTCAGAACACATTTCTTTCACTACATAGCTTCTCTGTTCATTCTCTGTCCATAATAGTGTTTTACTGACAGTTATTTGTATTTATTTTGCCCCTTCTAAACTGTAAGTCCTGCAGAATTCATAGATTCTATGACTCTTTTCTCTCAATTTCTCTTTTTGTCTTTCTCATATTACAAAATGAAGGCTCATTTTAAGTTATCAATTTAGAAATGTATTTCTCACCAAGGGTGAGAGCACAGAGAAATTACTGCTCTCATACTTTACGGATCACACTGTAAATTGACCCCATACTTCAGAAAGCAATTTGGCAAACTGCTGGAGAAGAAAAAATCCTTTATCTTCTTGGACTTAATCATTCCACTTCTGGGAATATGGTATAAGAAAATAATGCTCAATATGCACAGAGATGCATGTCACACTTTGCTTATAATAACAGAACAATGGGAAACACTGAATGCTCAACATTAGGTAGTGATTAAGATGGACCTAAATGCTGAAATATTGCATATTTAAATGATGATTTTAAAGCTTATATGGCAAGCATGAAATTATATTTTGTTTCAAAGTTAAGCAAAAAGTAAGGGTACCAAATGTTAATATAAATGTGAATTCTAATTATAACATTTGAAGAAACAGATTGAAAGGAAATACACTTAAATTCTAAGTTGAGAAATGCATGATATGACTTTATAATGTGGTTATATGTTAAAATAAACAAAAACAAAAATAAAAACTTATTTTAAGCATCTATGATGTTTTATGTTATGCAGCTGTCTTTAAAATTACAAGGATGAGTCAGTCATGGTGACACAGGCAATGCTTAGTTGAGCCTTCAATAAATAGCTATTCTTGTATCTGTTCCTCTCTAAATCACCACAGAATACAATTTTAGGAACTAAAAGTATTAAGAACCTTGACACTGAATACTGTTTTGACACATGTCACTTAAGTTGCATGCAACAGTCAAGGGTAAGATGATTTTTGTAAGGAGAGGAAGTTGAATATAACATGAAGGTACCAAGTTACAAACCAAAGCACAAGTCGCCAATGGATTACATGGATTACAGCAAACATTATGGCATAGATTAGGGGTAACTGTGGAGTCGGTATAATATGGTTGTTACAGTTCTCACTTTAACACCAACACTCTAGATTTGAATCCGATTTTGCCTCTTACCAGTTAGGTGGCTTTGTGCAAGTTTTTTAACTTCTTGGAGTCCGTTTTCTCATCCACGATATAAAGATAGAATGCTAGCTTCTGGGAGGCACTGCTGATTGCTTACCCACTGCCATCCTAGTGTGCTCTCAGCTTGCCTCACAATAATTTGCTTGTTCTTGCTTTTAGACACATATACACACATGTGTTGTCAGAGTCTGCCTCTAATTCTAGAGGCTCCACATATCAGTTTCTTACTTTCTCAACGTCTCTTCAGTTGGATCAGGGTCATATGACCCAGGCCTGGTTACTGGGATCTCGGGACGTACCACCGAATTCCTCCTGGGCAAGTTTCTTTCTCCAAAAAGTATATTCATGGAAAAAAATGGCCATCTTTCCTTAGTATGTTCATTCCCAAGTGTGATGTCTGAAATGGCTTTAGTCCTCTGACCTTGAGGGGTGGCATCACTGACCTACAGACTATAGCAGAGCAGAAAGATGGACAGTCTGCATCCTTGATGACATCACCACCTGAAAGACTTTCTTTTTTTTTTTTTTTTTTGAGACGGAGTTTCGCTCTTGTTACCCAGGCTGGAGTGCAATGGCGCGATCTCGGCTCACCGCAACCTCCGCCTCCTGGGTTCAGGCAATTCTCCTGCCTCAGCCTCCTGAGTAGCTGGGATTACAGGCACGTGCCACCATGCCCAGCTAATTTTTTGTGTTTTTAGTAGAGACAGGGTTTCACCATGTTGACCAGGATGGTCTCGATCTCTTGATCTCGTGATCCACCTGCCCTGGCCTCCCAAAGTGCTGGGATTACAGGCTTGAGCCACCGCGCCCGGCCGACTTTCTTTATGTGATATAATACAGATGCTTATCATTTAAGTTCATTTGAATTAGCTATTCTAGCACTTGCATTTAAAACCACCACTATATTTTGTATTAAATGAGAAAATAGGTGAAGTGGTTAACAAGGAAGTGGAGCATAGTGATCAAGAGTAGAGGCACTGGAGCCAGACTGAGTTTTAATGCAGTGCTAGCAATGTAACCTTGCACAAATGACTTAAACTCTTAAATGTCATATATTGAGAGGACAGAAAAAGTGTTTTTATTTTTATTTTTGAGATGGAGTTTTGCTCTTGTTGCCCAGGCCGAAGTGCAATGGTGAGATTTCAGCTCACTGCAAACTCTGCCTTCCTGGTTCAAAGGATTCTCCTGCCTCAGCCTCCCAAGTAGCTGGGATTATAGGCATGCTTTACCATGCCCTGCTAATTTTGTATATTTAGTAGGGACAGGGTTTTACCATGTTGGTCAGCCTGGCCTTGAACTCCCCACCTCAAGTGATCCACTTGCCTCGGCCTCCCAAAGTGCTGGGATTACAAGCATGAGCCACTGCGCCTGGCTCAGAAAAAGTTTTGAACTCACAACTTAATAGGTACAAGTCATGTTATGAAGATAATAATACAAGGAGATACATTAGAGGATGACTGGGCAATGCAGCTGGCAACTTTAGATGAGGTGATGAGGGAAACCTCTCCAATGACAACGTTTGATCTGAAACCTAAATGATGAGAAAGGGCATACTTGTGGTTTTCTGGTAGGAGTGGGGGTGGAACGATAATAATTTGGGGAAGCTATTTAAAAGTCTGAAAGTAGGAGATGATTTGGCATAATCCAACCAACCAACCAACAAAAAGCATAAAGAAGATTGAAATGCTTGAAGCATCACTAACCAAGAAGGAACTAGTTTTCACTGAAGTTGGTGTGGTCGATGAGGATCAGTTCATACAGATCCTAGATAGTGTGGAAAGTACTTGGAATTTTTCACTAAGAACAATTAGAAAGCTTTGGTATCTTATTCATGCAATAAATGAATAATCCTATGTAAGGTGTTGAGTACTTACCATATTTTGGTACTGTTTGAATATTTTACATGAATTACTCATTTAATATTTTTAACAAACTTTTAAGGAAACTGAGGTAAAGGTATATTGTGTAATCCTCCAAAACCTATACAGCTAAATGTGAGAGAGTCAGAATTTGAAGCTGGGAAGTCTAGCTGCGTAATTCTTGCTTACGCCATTAATCTTATAGATTCCTTTTGATGACTGCGTGACTACAGCATGCTAATAAAGGTGATGAAATAGAGTTTATTCCTTCTCCTTAAAGCTAAGTACAACCTTATTTTACCTGTAGTTTAATTCAATTTATTCTGACAATAACTTATTGATTTCTAACTCAGCGCACGCCACTGGTTAAAGTTCTGGGGTATGGAAATGAAGATAGTGCTTTCCTCTTGAACTCACAGTTTAGCAAAAGGAGACAAGTAAATACATAAATATATTTAATGCGTTAAGTCTCTCCGATACCTCATATGAGTGCTCACAATACCCAGTCATCTTTTTTGAAGGCACACTTGCATTAAGCTGGACAGTGTGACTAATTTTGCCCATAGATTTTCTGCGCATTACTTCTGAGCTGAGTCATTCAAAGCCCCCACACAAGTCTTCAGTTTCTTTTGCCCGCCTGAGGTGGTTAAGGAAGCCTCATGTTTCCATATCAGAGATACAATTTGGAAGCAGTCTGGTGGAGTAATGAAGTCATTTCATAGAGAACAGCCCTGGGAAGGTGCCAGACCTATCCATATTTTCTGTAAAGCAAGAAACAAGCTTTGTTAGGTTAAAGTGGTTGCCACAGGAAGGCATAGACTCTACTGTGTTTTCTGCTATAAATGAAGCATATGTGAAGCACTCTGAGACACAAGAGAAAAAAAGGCAATTAATTCTGAATGATAACATGTAGATGTTTCCACAGAAGAGCTAACATTTTAATTATGTATAAAAGATGAGGAAGATTTCCACAGTTAGAAAGATTAGTAGATGGACTTGAAGAGCCATCAGAAAGGTATCAGGGAAAATGTATTAAGTGAAAAAATGTAGCATTTTGTGAAAGTAAAACGAATACATTTGAAAGACAGAAAATGAGGCCATGTAGCTGAAATATCTGGTAATTACTAGTAAAGTGGTAGACAGATGTGAAGCTAATGGTAGAGAGATGTGAATAAAGAGAGAGATTCGGGACCACTTTGGTTCTGATAACTCTAAAGTTCTTGGACTTGAGTTCCTACAATCTGGGAGAACTGTTAGAAGCTTTTGCTAGACATATTTGCTGACAGTCACAAATAGACACGTACTGAAGAGACCATAGTAAGACAGTGTAGTCCCTGCCCTGTGTTGGTTGCAAACTATTATAGGAGATATTAGATTATGTTGAAATCATTTGTTTAGGTGGCATTAAGGGTAAATTCCATGAGATAAAACACTTTTAGAGAAACTGAGGTAACTTGACAGTGGAAGTTACATTTTCTCTGCATCTTTGGTGTTCACAAGGTGGTTAAGACTTGAAGTGGGAAGTGAGAAGCGAGAAGGAAGAGGTATGACTCTAACATTGTCCAGGTGTGAAAATGTGAAGGGCTCCACTGGAACAGTAGTAGCAGGCATAACTTGTGTTGGATTGAATGGGTCAAGAAACTTCGTGAAGGTGCCTATCTTAGGTAAAGGAAAGATGCATGTCACTAGTTGAAATTGAGAAGGTAAGAGAGGCAGCGCATTGAGGAGCCGTAAAGCACCAGCTGCTTTGCTTCTGCCTAGGTCTGTAGGAAACTTTGTGGAGCCAGCTGAGTGAGAAACAGCACTGCTTCCTATAATACTCAGGTTTGTATTGAATCCTCTTTGAACACATGAAGAATTTGTAGATTATACATTTGTTCTTAATTTTTATGGACAAAACATGAAGGATCTTAAGACACAAATGAGCCCTCTGGAAAATAGTACTGATTCTCTCAAGAGGGAAAAGGAAAAGTAATGGATAGAAAGTTATTTGTTTGATAATATTAAAAAATTCCTATGGGTACAAATCTCATTGTGGAGTAAACATATTATTTTTTCAAATATATATAGATATTGATATTGTAGACAAAATATAAATCATTAGAAATGATACTGGATGCTCAGTAACTTCTTGCCATCATTGTAATTCCTTAATCACCTTATAATAAAAATACAACTGTTACCAGGAGAAGAGTCTGCAAACTTTTGATATTAAAAAGAAAACCCTTACTGGGCACGGTGGCTCATGCCTGTAATCACAGCAATTTGGGAGGCTGAGGCTGGCAGATCACCTGAGGTCAGGAGTTTGAGACCAGGTTGGTCATCATGATGAAACCCAGTCTCTACTAAAAATACAAAACTTAACTGGGCATGGCGGCAGGCACCTGTAATCGCAGCTACTCAGGAGGCTGAGGCATGAGAATCACTTGAACCCAGGAGGCGGAGGTTACAGTGAGCCGAGATTGCATCACTGCACTCAAGCCTGGGGTATAGAACGAGAAAATCCTGTCCTTGGAAAAGCTGAGAATCTCTGCTCTATTTTCTGGAGAGTTACTTATATCACTGGTGTATTAAATTACATATCTGAAGGAACCTGAAATTAATAAAATATAAATTCATTCTTTTACTTTGAATGTAATGCAAAAGGATCAAAGGTCGATTGTTTTCATTTGACATAGTTGATGATATAAAGTTTGCACATCCAGAGAGGAAGAATGTTATCGGGAGTTCTGAAGAAGCTCCTAGAACATCAGGTCTTAGTCATCAGTTCTAGTGATTTTTAAGGATTCCAATGCTTTGCATGTAAGTGTGTGTGGGAGGGGTTAAAAGGATTAGGAGGGATGTATGCATGCTGCAATGAATGGGCTTCTCAGCCTGAAACTCAGGGAAAGCAGGAAGTTTGCCAGCTGTTCACCTTATTTTCAGACAGCTTTTTCAATTGAAACCTGTGGATTCCATGCTTCATTTTTTTTGTGAAAGCATCTTTTACAAATTATGGTAAAAATTGTTACTTTTTCCCTATATGGAACTTTGATTCTTTGTGAGAAATTAGTTTACTGCAAATATAGAATGACTTTGCTGAAAGCATTTTGTTCAACTCAAGTACCAGAAGGTGATGCCCTTTACTGTTATTTCAGTGAAAAGTCAAGGAGGGTTTAAGTAAATGTTTTCCTAATAAGTTGTATGGGGAATATGTAACTCTACTCAGTGGAAAAATCTAAAAAGCAATTAGCAAAGGCACTGTTTGTTAAGAACGTCATTTTCCTGGAAGTTCGTTGTTACTATCAGCATGAAAGTTTTCCTACTACTTAGCCCCCTCTCTTTTGACTTGGAAATCCGTTAACACCAAGTAGCTTCTGATTTCATTTTGTAAAACTTTCTTTGTTAACATCTCCAGGTATTATATGAGGCTTTCCTTTGGCATCAAAATTTAATTAACTATCATGAGTTTGCCTTCAGTTTGACTTTGATTATTTGAATTTCAACTGCCTTTAGGGAGAAAAATAACGGAAGTATATTACTCACCACTTCACATCTGTTGCAGCTTAAAAGGCTCAGTTGCCAAGAATTTTATGAAGCATCACTTAGTAATGATTCAGGAAATGATTAGTCAATGAATCTTATTCTCAAAGTGAAGGGCACCCTCTGTTGTCCATCTTGCTATGATAGGGCCTTGATGTTTTCCAAGATATAGAATCAAGCTATAAATTTGCAATTTCTTCTTAGCTGGACATTGATAACCGCATAGTGGTAAATGACACACATAAGGAAATCTTTCAATATTCTAGTTAAAGTGTTCAAGAATAGAGACAGGATCCCCCCAAAATAGACCCTGATGCTGATAATGAAAACAACAGCAAACTGGCTTCATTTTCTTCTTCCACCAATTAACTAAGATTTCCATAGTCTTTCGATATCTCTGTGTGTCAGTCTTCTCCTTTAGAAAATGAAGATGTTAATGACTGCACAATGTACAGTTACAAAGATTTTATTTTTGCTGCCGTGATTTAAATTTGAAATGCAAATGAAGTTCCCAACATTTTGTGTGTTTTGTAATTTTATGATGCAATTATTATTGCAATTACACTATGAAAAGGCTGGGGAACTGATGACTGTCTTGTACATTTAAGTCTTTGGCTGAAAACTAATACTTCAAGAAGTTGCTTCTTTAAACCTTCTCCTTATATGGCTCCCATGATTTTATTACCTCTTCTAAACATCTCTCACTTCTCTGAATGTTGTAGTGGATATTTATTGTTATTTAGACAGGCTTTGATTCTTGATTTTTTTTTTTTTTTTTTTTTTTTTTTTTTGAGACGGAGTTTCGCTCTTGTTACCCAGGCTGGAGTGCAATGGCGCGATCTCAGCTCACCGCAACCTCCGCCTCCCGGGTTCAGGCAATTCTCCTGCCTAAGCCTCCTGAGTAGCTGGGATTACAGGCATGCGCCACCATGCCCAGCTAATTTTTTGTATTTTTAGTAGAGACGGGGTTTCACCATGTTGACCAGGTTGGTCTCGATCTCTCGACCTTGTGATCCACCTGCCTCGGCCTCACAAAGTGCTAGGATTACAGGCTTGAGCCACCGCGCCCGGCCTGATTCTTGATTGTTAATGGTTAGATCCCTGTTATTTTTCTTAACAAACAGCATAGAATGTTTATTCTTGTTTTCCAAAAGCTTCAGCGTCATATTTTCAGTTCCTATGCTGTTCTATCTGTGTAATACAGTATGTCAAAATCAAACTCATCATCTTTATCCAAAATCTACCTCAAGTTTGAAGGTTTTAGGAAGGCTGCGTGATGGTATTCTGTTTTTCCTTTCGTTGGAATATAATATTTGGTTTACTCGTTGCAGTTGTGTTGGTCATTATTTCTAGATCTTTTCAATGGACAGAGTTAAGCTTTTAGATCTGATCTTCTCAGTGGACAAAGCTAATGCATTATATATGTGTGTGTGCATGTGTACATATGCAAAAATATACACACATGTATATGCATATTGTATATTTAGTAAGTTCATATTAAACACAAAATACCTCATAAACTCATACTGGTACTTTCTATACAAATTTTGGAGTACAAAGATTTTACTTCATTTGTTTTATATTACATCTGTATCTCTTCTCTTTCACATTAAGAAACAGTTCTCAAGGACACAGGGGATAATATGATTAGAATTTCTGAAAATTTCTCATTTCCTTTATCCCACATCACCTACATAATTGTCTCAGGATAACAATTCTATTACCATTAATCTTATTTAGAAAAAATAATTTTTTAATTTGTTGTTTTCACTCTCCTTATCTTTTTTTAAAAAAATTGTCTTACATTGTCCTGTATCTATGCATAGTAATGAATATTATAATCTCGCCTTTTTAGCTCTCTTTTAGTATTAATTTTACAAGAAATTATGTATTTAGTGCTCACCACTAGTTTTATGTCAGTGTCTCTCTAATCATTTTGGTTGTGTGAAGTTTGTTCTCTGGTAGGTTTCTCAAGAAGGCCTCATGGGAACAATATTTCTAGAGTTCTTGAATGTTGATAACTTGCAAATTTGCCTTTTCTTCCTTTTTTTCTTTTCCTAACCACTAGACCACCAGGAACGCCCTTTATTCTTGAAAGTCCCTTTGCTAGGTATGAAATCTTTGACCTACATTTTTACTCTTGAGTATCTTAAATGTATTAATGCATTTATGTCTGTTTTAAAGCGTTGCTGTAGAAAAATTCAGTGATAACACAATTTTCTTTCCAAGTCTTTTGTCCAAAAGAGCTTGCCTTTTCTTAGCTCAGAAAAATTTTAGAATATGTCTTGAAGCTGGTCATTCTGGGTTGTCATAAGTTGTATAAAAACATATGTGATATGCTTTTTTGATATGTAATTTTGAATCTTTTTAATTTCAGAATTTTATTGTAGGATTTAGTATTTTTTCCCCCTTGCATCAATTTTCTTATTCAGTGTCTCCTCCTGTGGATATATTTAGTAATGTTTGCTTGTCTTCAGTATTTGTCACTTTTTTGACCATTTTTATAGCCGCCTTTACTCAATGGAAAGTTTTTCTTTTTCACCTTTAGTTTCTCCTAAACCTTTATTATTATGTTTATTTTCTCTCATGCTCCTTCTAACATAGACTTCATTTCTGAAATTTTTAAAATTCCTATTTCTTTCCTGAGTACTTTTTCTCACTTCCAAGTTTTTCTAATTCTTTATTTATTTAGTTCTTTTATATATATATATAATTTTCTTAATTATTTTTAGGTTTCTTTGAAATAGCAGGTTACAGTTGATGCATTTTGTGGACTCATCTTTCTGTTATGCATTTATTGTCCATAGGGAGGTTGTTTTGCTCATCATTTTCTTCTTATAACGTGTATGCTCTTTGACATTGAAATTTTTCTGTCACTTAATTTTATGTATTTTTTGAATTTTTAGAAGAAGATGTGGCTCAGGATATCTTTTATAACTTCATAGATTTCTCCCTTTTGTCTTTTTCTCTAAAAATGCTAAAAATATGATGTCATGCTAAGATTCCTGGGTCTATTCTTTTCCTATATTTATTCTTATCCTATGAAGAACTTTTCTTCCTTAATATTTATTCTCCCTGCCCTGCTCCAAGTTGATTCTCTTCCACATTATTCCTCAAGTTGGTCCTATCTTGGCTGAGTTTT